TCCTCGCTTAAGCAAACACCTCTCGCCTGAGCAAGGTCACATATCTCCTGAGCGAGATCCCTTCTCGCTTGGGCGAGGAGACAATTGGGGTAATCTTATCTTTTCTAGCTTGAGCGAGATTGATTTCGCTTGAGCGCGAACACTCTAGAATGCCTAATTCTGCACGACTTATTCTCGCTTGAGCAAGACTACCCTCGCCTGAGCCAGACACCCTGCACCCAGAACTCCAATCTATCTCTCGAGTGAGATAATACCAACTCTTAACCATACTCCCTAGATTATCCTATGCACAACACACCTAACAATCATTCTCCGACTTGCACTGCACTTTACATTTAACAACATCATCACACATTACTTATGAATATATTGTTCCTTATCCGGCAATTACATAACCTTTATATTTATATTTCAATATATGAATAAGTCATACACTTTAAGCATACAGAACACAATTTAAATGGAATAATGAGTATACAAAAATACACCGATCTGACACTCATCATCTTTAGGTTTTGTAAAATTTTTTGTCTTTATTAATTTCTTTTCTAAGATTTGAAGGTGTTTATTAGTGTAATTAGTCTGTTCCGTAAGGTCTTTAATATCTTCAGGAGGTATTGTTTCATCTAAACTTTTTGTTTTGAAAGGTATAGCTATAACAGGGTTTTACTATCATCTTTCACTTTGGGTAATTGAAATTGAGTGGTGGGAGATAGGTTGGATTGAACTATCTCATCCCCCTTAATTTGCCAAGCTGAAATAACATTAGTAGATGGTCCACTTGTAATGTCAACTTGCCATGGATAATCAATATTATTTTTTATGGTATAAACATGAAACTAATAAAAAAATGGAATTTTCTTTTCTACCTTTTCTACAAATTTATAAAATTTCTTAAATATTTTTGCTATTAATTTTCTTATAATTTTTGAACAATCATTATCTCTCGGGTTTCTAATCCTCCGAGTAAATTTTTTTTTTCTAAAAGATTCTTTATCTATAATGAATTTATGTAACAATATCATAAGAATAACTAAGAGAGAAATAAGTTGAAGATTGGATAGATTGTCAGTCTTCATTATTATTATTATTTTGATAGGTTGTTCTAGGGATACTAGAAGATATATCTAAACCTTGAGGGTTTATATGGAATGGAATATGAGTTATCGTTATTGGTATTGTAGGTTGGAAAGACCGCAAATGAACTAAGAAGTGATTTTCTAGCGGATGCACATTCAGATTATCTTAAGGCTTTAATTTTAGAAGAGAAAGAGATTCTCCTATTAAAAGTTATTTCTTTTACTTTGTCAAAATTATCTTGTTTAATTTCTTGAATTTGTGAAATAGGTCTAGGAATAGAAGGCATAACCTCTTTGTGGTTTAAGAAAGACTCTTAAAGTTCAAGAGTTTATCACCTTATATTGGATTCTATAAATTAAGGCTACAAGAATTGACCTTCTTTTCATGTCAAGGCCATTAAAATGGATGTTTAAAAATAAAGATTCTACAATATTCTTATCAATTAAACTCACGATTTTATTTGTGTAACAATTAAAATAAACTAGTCTTTGGCCAAGACTAGTTTTTATTGTTCCTATTAGAGAATCTTTAAACCTATTGTGTCTAATATCTCTAAGAGACATTAAGGCTGCAACATCTATTCCCATATCTATTAAGGGTTTAATTACTACTTGTACACACCTAATGTGCAAGTATTTATATTTTCTAATGTGATCATTTACTGGGTGTTTTGATAATAGATGAAAATTTTCCCCTATATTTTGACATAAAGAAATATTACTTTTTATAGTTTTGATTATGTAATCAGAACTATTTTTCTATTTGATTTATTTTTCAAGAAAATATAATGTATCATGTGGAATTTTTAGAAATGTCCAGTCATCCATACTTTGGTTTATTTCTTCAAAGCGTATCTCTTCATCAAAGAAATTGTGCTTTGGAATATATATATATGTTCTATTTTAATGGTCTTAGGTGAAAACTTTAATGGACATGTTGGTTGTGAAACAAAACAATTGACTAGGGTTTATGGTTGTTTTGGTTTTGGAAAGTTAAATGAGGAATGACAATTTAGTCTTGATTTCTCAATGTCTTACAACTTTAAGATAAACATTTATTTTAAGAAGGTGAAACATCTTATCACTTTTAAGAGTGAAATTTCAAGGTTACAAATCGATTTTTTTTCTTACGAGGAATCTAAACAAAGTATTTGTAAGAATTGTTAAACTTTAGGAGAGAGCCTCTTACTACACAACATTAGATCTTGGTCCTTGATGTTCATTTTAAGACGGGTAAATAGAGAATTTGATAAGTTAGTGTTCTGAGAATTAAGAGGTGGCTACTTAAAAGTGAGAAACAATTGGACTTTTAAAGGCAAATAGTAGAAGAGGATAGCTAAGTGACACAAGGTAGTGCTAACATCATTTAGGACAATATGGTTAAAAAGGTTAGGAAAGTTGCTAAGAAAATTTTAGACAAATCCAGAGGTTTTAGACCAAAGGACAAAGAATCATTTGGTAGAATGAAAGTGTGCAAGAGAATATTAGAGAGAAGATTATGTGTTTTAAGTCTTTGCATATATGTAATAGTGCTAAAAATTAGGCAAGGTATTGGAAGGCAAGAAATGAGACAAGAAAACCAATGAGGGAAGCATTTTCTAAAGCTTTTGAAGGGTTCTATCAAGATCTTGGGAGAGAGTATGATGAAAGGAAGATTTATAAACTTGTCAAAAGTAAAAAAAATAAAAAAAATAAAGATTTGGATTAAGTTAGATATATTAAAGATGAAGAAAGAAAATTTTTGTTTTCAGATCAAGATATAAAAAACAAATGGTTGAAATACTTCTATAAACTTGTTTAATGAGAGACAAGGAGCAAATGGAAGTTTAACAAGATTAGAAGAACAAGCAAATTATCTAAATTTGGCATATTACTATAGGATTTGAGTTGGAGAAGTAAAAGAAATTCTTAAGAGGATGGAGAGTGGTAAAGTGATTGACCCTGATAATATCCCTAAAAAAGTTTGGAAAAGTTTAGGAAAACAAGGAATGAAGTGGCTCACTAAGCTCTTTAATGAGATTTTGAAATCTAAAAATATACCAAATGAGTGGAGGAAGAGCATTTTGGCTCCTATATACAAGAATAAGGGTGATATCCAAATTTGTGCAAACTATAGAGGGATTAAACTCATGGATCACACTATGAAGTTGTGAGAAAAAGTGACTGAATATAAAAAACATGAGGAAACTAAGATCATAAAAAAATTAATTTAATTTTATGTTAGGAAGGTCTATAACAGAAGCTATGTATCTTTTATGAAAGATGATGATAAAAAAAGAGACATATGATCATATATCAAGAGAAGTGTTGCAGAAGACTTTAGAAAAGAAAATGATCTATATAGCATATATTCGAGCTATACAAGACATGTATAAAGGGGTAACTACATGTGTAAGAACTTCTAGAGGCGTATATAAGGAGTTTCTAATTGGAATAGGTCTACATCAGGGCTCTATTTAAGCCCTTACTTGTTTAATTTAGTCTTATATGTGCTTACAAATGATATATAAAAGATTATCCCTTAGTGCATGCTCTTTGCATATGATATAGTGATTATTGAGGATTTAAAAGAATAGGTTAATGCTAAACTTGAGTTATAAAGGAAAATTTTAGAATATAAGAATTTTCGCTTGAGTAGAAGTAAAATACATGTATTGTAAGTTAAGCAAAAAACAATGAGGATCATGCATTAAAAGTTAAAATTGAAGATGATATTATGTCATAAGTTTTTAGTTTAAAGTACTTGGGATCAATTATACAGAATGATGAAGGAATTAATGAAGATGTTACTCTAAATACAAGCTGAGTGGTAAAAGTAAAAAAAGGTATTAGAAATTATTTGTGATCGTAAAATACCCTAAGCTGAAAGGAAAGTTTTATCATATTGCAATACAACCACCTATCCTATATGGTAATAAATGTTAAGTCTTAAAGGAACAACATGAGAAAAAAAAAAAGTAAAAATGACAAAAATAAGAATAGTAAAGTAAATAAGTAGACACACAAGAAATGATATAATACAAAATGATAATATACGAAAGAATATTATATTAACATCTACAAAAGAAATATAACTAAAAATCAGTGGTTCAATTATGTGCAAAAAAAGACATTTAAAGATACTAGTAAAAAAAGTGAATTCATGACTCTTAGTGTAGTAAAGAAGAGTCAAAGAAAACTCAAAAGATCCTTAAACAAAATTATTAAAAAAGACATTTTAATTACTTAAATTTTTAAGAATTTAATTTTTGATTGAATTCAGCGACAATCATATAATCCACATAACATACTTCACCTAATGAGATAAAACTTGATTGTTATTGTTGTTGGTAAATATATGATTTTTTTAAAAATTAAATTCAGTTAACTCAAAAATATTTTATCAAAAATAATGTAAGTTAAGCTTGTCATTTTATTTGACAAGTTAGAGCAAGACTAATTTGTCACGTCAAAGATTATAAATTTCTAATTATTTTTGCTATTTTAGTTTATTTCAAATTGAAAAGTACGTAAAATTCAAGCTAAATTAAGGGTTAAATAATGCAAAATAATGGATACTCTTGATAATTAATCGTACGTGTTTGATGTCATCCTTGCTTTTGACAATCGACTGTATGACTACAAGCCATCTTCAATTCCAGACTCTAATATTTCATTTAATAATTTCCCCCCCAATAATTTTGTTGCTAAAATTTAAAGCAAATCAAATCTGTAGATATTTATTGATAAAACAAACTGTAGATATTTTATTTTAGTCTTATGTGTTACAAATTTATAAACACTTTTCTTCTTCAAGAAGTAAAATAAATATTTTTAAAGTTGTCGTAGATTTGCACAAATAATTAAAAAAACATTCAGTAGAGTTATTTTTTTTAAATAAGTGTATTATGAGTATATTGAAATTAAATTTTTACCCTTGTTTATAAATAAAACAGGCTATTGAACCCAATTTCAATAACCTTGTTTTAAGTAAAAATAATTAATTACAAGACAATCTTCCAAGCTAAGCTGCCAGATGTGTTTTGTTCTTAAAAAAGATAACCTGCATTTTTTCAAGTTCCTGGTCTTTTTGGAAGGCGCGCCACATGATTGGTTTACATATAACACTCATCTAATCTGCTTTTATGCAGCTGAAATGCAGGATTAACCCAAGCTCCACAGCTGCATTGCATACCAGCCCAGTTGAAGTAACCCAAACGAGCATTACAACCCATACAGAGCAGTTTCTCCTCCACATGACCATCTTGGACTTTAAAGCCAAATCCATATCCACAGTGTTAGTGTTAAGTTTGAAAAGTGATCTTATGGCAATTATAAGATATGATGGAAATTTAATAGTACCTGCTTGCATCCACTTCATGTGCTCAACAAATATTGAGGTGCAGTCAGCTGGTTGCTTTTCCATTTCCGAGGGTTCGCTGCTTCTCTTTCTCCAATTGAAGCTTGATTCTCCTTTCCCACGCTCATGGGAAACTATATTTTCCTCTGAAGCAACAATTCTTCTGCATTTCTTACACCGATATATAAGTTGAGGTTTGGTTGTGGTTTCTAACTGAGAGCTACCGAGTCCAGCCATTTGTATTGGATAATGAAATGATATTATGCTTGATGCACTGTGAAATTATAAGCAAATGAGTGTAGAAGAAAAACTTAGGATGTCCAGGACCAGAACTAATCGTTGTCCCACACCCGTTCATTCAAGCATAAGACGATAGTTGGAGGATAAATAAATTTAAATAATAAGAAAGCAAAATTAATGAAAGAATTTGATGTATGAGTAATAACAACTCAGAATTAAAATTGCAATTAGCATATAGAAACAACAAATTTCACCAGGCCAATCTCCTTTCAGGTAGAACACATTAACTAGATCTGTATTTGGGCATAATTATTTTTAAAGTTCATGACAAACATACTGTGAAACCCGCAGTTGATATAGGCTTTAGATTTTAGTTCCATTATGTGCATAGTAAGAGCACCTATGAATTGATATGATACAAATCATATAATGGAAGGGCAGTCCGCTAAAAAACTTTTAAGTAGCATTGTTAATATCAATGACTGTTGAATCTAGAGGTACGTCTAAACAGATAAGTGAACAATTAATGGGGATACAACACTATATGATATCCAATCCCAAGCATGCACCAAGGAAATTAAATGAAAGAGCTAAGCGGAGAATCAACAAAATTGTGCTGAATATGCGCTAGAAGCTCTGATATATCTCTTTATATGCATGTATCTAAAGAGACTTTGTTTAACGCATATTAACTCACATATCTCAGCTCAAATTAGCCCATAATGCCGCCATGCAGCACAAAATGTATTCCACCAAAATTACCTGTTCATAGGTTTTCTTGCTTGATTTGTTCACTCCCTTAATGCTTCATATAGGAAATTAAATGAAAGTCCTAAGCGGAGAATCAACAAAATTGTGCTGAATATGAGCTAGAAGCTGATATATTTCTTCATAGGTATGAATCTAAAGAGACTTTGTTTAACACACATTAACTCAGATATCTCAGCTCACACTAGCCCATAATGCCGCCATGCAGCATAAAATGTATCCCACCAAAATTACCTGTTCATAGGTTTTCTTGCTTGATTTGTTCACTCCCTTATTCATGCTTCATATTCTGTCTTTGTTTTGTAACTTTGGCCTATGCACAAAACAGTATTTATTCTCAATTCGAGTAGGAGAACTAGAGACTTGTGTCAATGACCAGACAAAATTTTCACTAAATGAAAGTTTCAACAGCCATTCCTATTCTAGATACACAACGAACCGAATGAAGTAGCATGCCATGGCGAGATGAGATGGAACAACGCACCAAACATTAATCACTAGTCATATTTCATAATGCACTGAAAGTGGTCTGGTTCAATTACAAAACAGGAAATAAAGATTAAAGGAGTGAACATCATACAAGAATGATACTAAAAGTTTTGATAAAAAAAAGCAGAAAAAACCATGAACACTACCAGTAATTACCTAAGTAGCCAAACTCAAGCTCCTATAGCTTATGAAAAACACTCCAAAATCAAGTTTATACTGCACAAAAAAGAGAACACGCCAATAATAAGACAGACAAATCAACTTATGCATAGGATTTGTTAAACGCACAGATGAAAAATTAAGCAAAAAACTAAACAAAACAAAACACTTCCTTTTTGACTCATTCCCAAGTCCTAACATAAAGGTGCTGGGTTAGTGTGACTAGCTTCAAAATATGCAGATCATATTCACCTAAACCTCAAGCCAAACAACATGCATTTTAAATCAAATCAGAAGATTACAATAAACACCTCAAAAGACAAGCAGAAAGCACCACAATATTGTAAGATCAACTTAGTAGCACTAAAGACAGTGTAACTGTAACAAAAAAAAGAAAAATCTAGCCTACACTACCATCAAGCAACCAACACAGGTGAAAGTATATTCAGAGCCCAGAGAGAAGAACGAAAAATAAGAGAGCAAAAAAATCAGAGTTTATGAATTATAACTTCAATAATCTAACTTAAGGATGCTTACACCAAGCTACTTAAACTAGGTAATAAAACTGAATTAGCAAGTAGCAACCAACTCATAACAGAAACTAACTCATAACTGATTATGTAACTAACACTAATTCCTTACGCACAAGTGATGAGACTCGACACGTTCACATCACAAACAATCACCAAAAGTTGCAAGCATATCGAAATTGGCATTTTATCGAACACTTAGCAGTCAACTACTATCATGTTAAATTAACATGCCCAACCAATAATAACAAGCGTCTCGCAATATTGACAGTGGCGTTGAACTCAGATTTGCCAAAATTCAAATGATAATAAGCACAAATCATCAGAGGAAAAAAAAAAGAAAAAACTTATATCTCTTAGTTTGTAGAAAAACAAAAAGAAAAATTGGGTTACCAATAGTTTTAGTTGATCCAAGTAACTGCGTGTGCTTGTGAATTTGAGAGAATGAAATATTAGTGTTTCATATGAGGGGAGAGAGAACAAAGGATGAAAGAAATGAGGGGGGACGTTGCCTGTTCCTGTACGTGAAAACTGAAGAAAATCGAAAATGAGCAGATTTTGTTTACTTGGGTACTTTCAGTTTATTCAAAAAAAAAAAAAAGTTAAAAAAAATGTAGTCCTTACCCTTTTAATTATTTTTTATTTATTTTTTACATAAAAAATTATATTTTATTCGTTATGTAAAAAAATCCAATTAGTTCCCGATATTATGATGATGTTAGAGCAATTTTTGGATTAAATAGAAAAAATATTATTAAGTGCATGGTTTAAAACATCGAAATTTTTTTATGTAGGACATAAAATGAATAATAAACTATAAATATATTTTATGTAAGGATTAAAATAATATATATATATATATATATATATATATATCAAATTAATCATATTTAATTTGTATTAAATGTTTTGGAGAAGAGTTTTATTATCTATAAGGATTCTATCCAACTTAAACATAATTTACCTTTATTAAAAAATACACGTAGTCTAAGTAAAAAAAAATTATAAAAATTAATCTAACCTCATAAAATTTCAAAAGTTGCTGAAGTGGTGTAAAATTTTATTAACAAAAATACATTTATACGTTTAAAATCAATTTACTTAACAAATATTGTATTTAAAGTTTACTATATATAATTGTTTTCAAATAACCAGCAAACTAGTCTCATGGAGTCACTCAAGAGTTTTTAAACAAATTTAAGAATGAAGTTTTTTTTATTAATAAAATAATTTATTAAAATTATTATAATTTTAATAAATTATTTTTTAAAGGCAACTTCGACCACACGAAGTCAACTACTCCACACATGATTTGTAATTAGCAGCAGTAATCTTTGCACTAAAAATATAGAAGCACCTCTTTGGGCTAAGATTTGAAGTCTTCAGTGACTACAAAAGTTTGAAGTATATGTTCAACTATAAAGAGATAAACATACGACAATGAAGGTAGATGGAATTCTTGAAAAATTACGACTTCACGTTATCCTATCATTCGGGAAAAGCGAACGTGGTTGCATATGTGTTGAGTAAGAAGTCCTTGCACATCTCAACCATGATAGTGAAGGAATGGAAGTTGATTGAATAATTCATAGATTTAAAGTTGGCAATGGAGTTACGACCAACAATCTATATCTTGAGACTTTGAAGATCAGCAATGATTTCCTGGCTCAAATTTAATCTATGCAACAAAAAGATCTTTATTTGCAGGAAATGATGCGCCAAAAGGATGAAGGCAAGAACTTGGAGTTTCATCGTGATTCAAATGGGCTAATAAAATTCAAGGATAGAGTATGCATCCCTTAGAATGAAGAACTACAGTAGATGATTTTGGAAGAAGCCCACAAGAGTAAGCTGAGTTTCCACTCGGGAACGACAAAGATGTACCAAGATCTACGGAGGAGCTTTCGATGGTACGGGATGAAGAAGGAGGTAGAAGAGTACGTGACGAAATGTCTAACTTGTAGAAAGTCAAAGACAGAACATAAGCGCATGCCAGGAAAATTGCAGCCACTGGAAATTTTTGAGTGGAAATGGGTTAGCATTTCCATGTACTTCGTATCCAGCTTGCCAAAAACCAAATAGAATCATGATGCGATATGGGTGATTGTGGACAGATAAACTAAGACTGCTCATTTTCTTCCAGTCAACATGAAGTACAAGATAGAGAGGCTAACAAAGCTGTATATCAAGGAAATAGTTAGGCTACATGGAATGCCTATGAGCATCGTATCTAACTAAGATTCGAGATTCACTTAAATTTTGAGAAAGCTTGCAAGGATCGTTGGGGACTAAGTTGAAACTTAGTTCAGTATATCATCTCTAGACCAATGGACAAACAGAGTGAACCATCCAAACTCTTGAAGACTTGTTACAAGCCTGCATGAGGGAACAACAAGGAACTTGGGAAGAGTGTCTACCCTTGGTAGAATTTACATACAACAATAGCTAACACGTCAGCATTGGGATGACACCATAGGAGACATTGTATAGAAGGAAGTGTAGATGCCCTTGTGTTGGTAAAAGTCTGGAGAGATGATTCTGTATTCCCCTGACTTAGTTCAAAGGAAGAATGATCAGATCAAGATGATCAGGGAAAAGATTAAGGTTTCTCAAGATAGACAGAAGAATTATTATAATGGTCAGAGGAAACCTTTAGAATTTTAAGTGGGAGATCATGTGTTTTTGAAGATTTCACCCACCATTGGAGTTGGTAGAGCCTTGAAATCCAAAATGTTGTCGCCTAAGTTTATTGGACCCTTCGAAATCTTGCGAAGGGTTGGCTCAGTAGCTTACCAAATTGCCTTGCCACCCAGCCTTTCAAATCTGCATCCTGTCTTTCATGTGTCTCAACTTAGAAAATACATTCCTGATCCATCTCATGTGATCGAACTTGATCCTGTACAAGTTCAAGAAAACCTCTCTTATGATGTATTTTTAGTAAAGATTGTCGATCGCCTGGTTAAGCACTTTAGAGGTAAAGATATATCTCTAGTGAAAGTGATATTGAATGCAAATGATAAAGGAGATGCAACTTGAAAACTTGAAGATAAGATGAGGATGGCATATCCTCATCTCTTCTAATCTAGTGAATTTCGAGAGCAAAATTTCTAAAAGGGTGAGAGAATTGTAACACTTCTATTTTTGTTATTTATTAATTTTGTATTTTGTGTGGATTGTTAATGCATGTTATTTGAAATTAGGAGAGTTTTAGGTGTGTGAGTTGTAGGATTTCTCGCTGTAGTAAGAAATGAGTGTCCAGAATTAGGATTTTTGACGCTCTCTCACTGTAACTAAAATGACACATAGCAAAAGGAAATCTTGGCTAGTTTTTCGCTGCAGTGAGAGAAGGTTTCGCTATAGCAAGAAACCGCTCGTTATAGCAAGAATGTCACGAGTTGAGAAGTATTTAAGAGTTTCCAAGTTGACAAACTTGGATTATACTTAAAGTTATGACCCTTTTCCATTTCCTCTAATCTCTCTCCTCTTTTTCCCAAAATCCTTGTAAAGCTCCAATCTTTCTTTGATCCAAGCTTGGGAGTTCACTCTCCTTGCTATTTGGTAAGATCTTAAAGCTTAGTTCTCCATTCCATTAGTTATTTTCTTGTTTTTCACCTCTAAATAGGATCTCTTATGATATTTAGGAAGAACCCAACTTTTTGAGCAAGATCTCTCAAAAACCCTTCACTAAATTTCTACTTCAAGGTTAGGAGAGCTCTATCTTATTACTAAGAATGTAGTATATTTGCGTTCATGAAAATGTTATGATGTAATGCAATATTATGAATATATATTTGATTGAAGTATGTTTTTGTGGTGTTTGATGATGTATATGATCTTTGTTTTAAGTGTATATGCATATATGTTGTAGAGTGAGTTTGGGGTGACGATAATGATTGATTGATATATGATGTAGTAATGAACTTAAATAAAATAGAAAAATAAAGTGATGAATAATATGATAGTATACAAATAATGATTTCAGGATATAATAAATAATGAGTTTGGGCCATAATGACTAATGAGAAGAGTAGATCCATAATGAGAAATATAGAAATGAGATGGAAAATATGGAAAGAGAAAAGAAATGAGAAAGGAACACGATAAGGATAAGCCTAGATAGTTCAGAGGTACACTGAGAGTGTGGAAGATGGAGGCGATTGAGAAATCTTGAGAAAATAAGGGTGGTGGATGCTTTTCTTGAATTGCGTGGTGGATGCTTTTCTTGAATTGCACGTAACAAATGGGAGTGAGAGCACCATAGGCCTCACACTTGTTTTCTTACTTAAACTCCTAACCATGCTTTTGCTAAAAGGGGCCGGGTCAGCACACGTCGTATTCATGTAGCTGCGGCTATCCAGCAACTATCTATGCTAAAGAAGACCTCAAGGGATCTCAGGGACAGTGAAAGTGTAAAGTAATAACTCTGAGTGCTAGTAGAAAGGAAATGTAATAAGTTGAATAATTAATAATTGATGCATGTATTTGGATATGATTTTGTGGCATGATTGATTGTTGTATTATCTTTACTTGTATTGTGTGATTTAATTGTGATTGTATGCTTAGTAATGTAGGTAAAGGCTCATCCTTACATAAAATTTCAAGGAACTAAAATGACGGCACCCGAAAAGAAGATTAGACTTATAGATAGTTCTGTACATAATAGGCTTAATTATATATTTAACGAATATCAAAGGACTTGTTATTTTAAATTTTCTGTGCACGTGGACGATATACCTAGGAATATAATTATGATGGAAATGGATCTATATTATAGCCTACCTTTAAATTTCCCTGTAAACAATAGGATCAAACACACTCTATGTGTGTACCTCTATCAAGGCATAGTTAGAACTCCAACGGCTGTGACCTACCTTTTCATATATCATGATCACGATCATCTCGAAAGACCAACTCGATGAACTTTTGAGTGAGTTATTAGCATGAAGGCCATTGTGGATTTAGGTGATCGTTATCTTAGATCAGATGATGATCTTAATTCGGAAGACCTTCTAGAAATAAAGGGATGGCATGGGGACAACCAGAATTGTCTTCAGTCTTTTTAGTTGACAAACTGCTTATTAGAACTTATTATATTTTATATTTTGTAAAGGATATAGATGACTCTTAATGTATTTTGAGTTATATTGTGTAATTATCAAACTCTTGTAAACTCAATAGAATAATGTATATTAATGTTTTTTCAGGTTTCCTTTTAATTGGTTTAATTCTCACTACTTTGTCATTTAAATTTTTATAAGTTGAGAAAAATAAAAGAAATGTTTTATAATTTCATGTGTTATATTCGACTGACAAAAGGAATGAATTTAATTTTTCCTTCTTAACTATGAAATTATTTTCTTATTATTTTGAATCAAACAAGGATGTTACAACTCTCCTTTCCCTTTCCCTTTCCCGTAGCACCCCTCCCCTCCCACAACCATGTGTTCCCTCTTGTTCCTCTTATTCCTCTCTAAAGTCCTCCTTCTCTCTTCTCGTTCTCATCTCCGCAGCCCCTTTTTCCCTTACTCGCACCCCCTTTTCACCTTGCTCACAACCCTTTC